TTTTTTTTTTTTTGAGGGAGGGAGGCAAGTTTTGCTCACCGGGGGCTTACCAAGTCTTATGTACATAATCGACAGAGTAAAACCGTACAGGTTTGGTGTAAAGGAATCCTGGCATAGAGGTAACAGAAATATTTAACAACTGAGTTAATAAGCATACATTTAACAATAGAGTTGTTCATAAATAACATGAAGTAGGTGATGGCTATGTTGTGGGGGCCTCAGTAATGCAGTACTTCAGAAGCACTGAAACAGACACCAATTAGGCAAAAGGACACAGGTGCAACTAATGTGACATTTTATTGTGGCAACGTTTTGCTCTCCAGGAGCTTTATCAAACTGTTAGATAACAGCCTGACAAAGCTCCTGGAGAGTGAAGCATTGCCACAACAAAAATGTCACATTAGTTGCACCTGTGTCCTTTTGCCTAACATATTGTCGGTAATTCTACCAACATCAATACAGACACCAAGATGCATTTAAAATTAGCAAGAATAAAGAGGACAAATTAGTACACAAGGATGTCAAAGTTGTTTTAGGGTAGAGTGGTCTTGGGAGACTACTAGGAGGGATGATTCTAAATAATCCCTGCATAAATTTGATGTGTGATAACTATTCTTGTGTCTTTCAATTTCATGAGGGACTGCGAAAGCTATGATGAATCGCACGTGTCGTAGTTAACTGTTCTGCAGGCACATTTATGCACCCTCCTACGTGTTTTCTAATTTCTTTAAGTATCACCAATATATTTTCTGGCAACTTCCACAAAGGGTAATGTGAACACCTGCACCTCTGCTTTCAAGACCAGCTGCTTTGTTTCTATTTAAATCTTTGATGGTGGTGATACTGGCTATTTATGATACATAAAAAGAGGGTCTTAGTGTAACTGGAAATATAACCAAGTTCATCTCATCATTTAGCATCAGAGTAGCTATGGCCATAATATCATCACCATCAAAGACTTAACCAGAACCAAAGCAGCCAATCTTGGAAGCAATGATCCAAGTGTTTACATAATCCTTTGTGAAGGTTGCCAGAAAATATACACAAGCGAAACTTCAAGCAATTTGGAAACATTAGAGAGCATAAATATGCCTGCACATGAGAACCACAGCACATGAGCAATTTATTGCAAGTCTTGCCATTACCTCACGAAACAGAGCAACACAAGAATAGTTATGAAACAAATTGATCTACAGAGAAGTAAGTACAGCACTGTATTTTGAGGTGCCCCTCATAGCAGTCTCCAGTATAATCACCCCAACACAGAAGTATTGTCAACAAGTATTATCAAGAACAGTATCAAGACCCCACAACATGGCCATCACCAAATATATATTTTTTATACTGCATACAAATCTTTTGTACCTTGACCTTTCCTTGCATAACCCTATTGTTCAATGGTTTTTGTTGTTACCTTAATACTCAAGCCTTGCCCTTACATCTCACTTTCTCACTATACAGAATGTACCCTTACTCAGTCTGGTTATCTACACCAAAGTGTGACAGAGCTCCTGGCTAGTGATACATAACTTAAAAAACAAGTATCCAGAATACTGCACGTGTTAGTTTACCCATTTAATGATCAGTATTTTTATACCTTTTTACTCTCACAGTTTTAGATGCAGTTTATATTTTAACAAAAAACTTTGTTTTGCAGCTAGCCAGCTTCCCGTCCTTGAAACTCTGGAAGTCTCGGGAGGAAAGCCTGGGCTCAGTTCCCGCGTTCAGTAAGGCCCCAAGCTTGGCAATGGTTTTCCTGAATCAAAACAAAATTACAGAAATTTCACCAATGGCATTTGCAAATTTACCAGAACTGACAGTGAGTACAGTACTTTACATATTTTATATGATGTGTGCATGCCAATAATGTTTTGTAAATACTAACATCAATACATGAGCAGTATTCGTGTTCTAAACGGATGCAATTCAGCAAGTGGTAACTGCTGAACTAAGATAACATGACAAAATATCCCTTTGCAGTGGAATTAAAACACATTGATGATATTCATTTCATAAAATTGTGGAATGAACCAGATTTACAAAATGTTCATAAATGCCATGTGATCAACACTTTCTTTAAAAAGGAACAGACTGAGTTACTTGATCTAGTTTATCACAGCTTTAGAGTACAGTGTTTTAGTACACATCTGCAGGACACTGGGCAAGACCTATAATGTTTCAGCTCATTTTACTTTTTTTTTATTTACTGTTTTCATCAAAAAATATATGTATCATCTCTGGTACCACTTTGATGATTACAGTATAAGGTATAACTTTATACTGTATAATACAATTATTTTCTGCCCACAAATTATCCTATCATGCCCAGGAGAGTCCAGACATGTTTTTACTCATTTTCCAAGTTTTATTTACAGCCTTCATCATCTAAAATTTTACTGAAATTTTAAAAGCATCACCAATAGTGCATGTCACTACTTTTTTAATACAGGATGTTCTCAACTTACAAGTCTTTTGTACGGAAAATAATCATAAACCTAAAGTCTACACTGGACAATTGGTCAACATTTTGTGTTTGTTTGCAGGTTTTGGACTTGGGATTCAACAATCTTCAAACAATTGAAGAAAACTGCTTCTACTTCAGTGCCTGGGCCGTCATCACATACCTGGACGACAGCAACATCAGTTTCATCCATGAGAGAGCATTCAGCTACCACCAACCTGGTTACTTGGATGTTTCCACTAACAAACTTACTGCGCTTGACCAAAAAGTCTTCCAGGTGAGTCTGTATATTCATTTTATCACCAAAGAATCATTTTTTTTTTTTTAATTAGCTGGCCACCTCCCAATGAGGCAGGGTGACCTGAAAAAGAAACGCTTTCACCATCATTCACTCTATCACTGTCTTGCCAAAGGCGAGGAGAAATGACAGTTCAGGTGTCACTCTTAAACAGTAAGTATCCCAAACCCCTCCTTTAGAATGCAGACACTGTATTTCCCACCTCCAGGGCTCAATTCCTGGTCTTATTCTGTCAGCACCTTTCTGAAAGGGGATACCGGGAGGGTGTTCACCCCTGCGGCCCGGTCCATGAGCAGGCCTCATGGTGGATCAGGGCTTGATCGACCAGGCTGTTACTGCTGGCCGCATGCAAACCAACATATGAACCACAGCCTGGCTGGTCAGGTGCTGACTTTAGGTGTCTGTCCAGCTCCCTCTTGATACAAGTACAGTGCAGTAAACACTCATTATAAGTCACCTCCATATAAAAGGACCTCAGAAATAAAGAAGAAAATCCTGTGGGTCAATCAATTTGGAAACAAAGATCAAAGTACGTTGGATGCACAATTGTTTATCATTGTTACAATCATGGTACAGGTGGGCCCTGCTTCACAGCACTTTACAACGTTTCACTAATGTAGCAGTTTTTAATTATACCCATTCTTCATTCATTCAGACTTCATACAATAAATATATTCACCATCACTATAAGCTAAGAATGAAAATATTTTAAGGTAAATAATGTGTGTACTGTATATGCATTTTTTAGGCCCAGGGTGAAGAGTATAACAGAGGTAGCATTAAGAAGGGCAGTGAGGAGTGCTCAAGGAAATACATATAATCAAAGTTGGTGTAATAAAGCTGTTGCTGACAAAAAGTCAAAGAGGAAGTCTGTCAAAGGTGGGGCCATCACTGAAGAGGGAAGGTACAGTAAGGGTGACGTCAAAGGTAAATTCTGCATGCCCACTGGTAAAAATAATAACAAAAACTATACTTTACGTACACACACAAATAATCTGCACGTAGGAGAGAGAAGCTTATGATGATGTTTTGGTCCGACTTGTAAATCATCCAAGTCGGACTGAAACATTGTCATAAGCTTCTCTCTCCTATGTGTGGGTCATTTGTTTATTGTTCATTACGGTATTGTGCCTTTTTGTTCTTTTCTACAATGTACATAATTTTTAGTTATATTATGTTCTCAAGAGTTAATAGAGGAAAATGCAACGTAACATATTTAAACTAAATCACCATTAACCCACAACCTGAAGAGGTAACTTTAGATGATGTTTTGCCTCATCCCATCAGTGAAGTCACAGTTGTCTTGATATTGTTCCAGGATGGACAAAACCATCTTTCTAAGAATTCCTAATACACTGTTCCAGCAGTGTTTTATAACTAATTCTTTGTAAACCAAGTCCTTCAAATAATCTGCTTCTCTCCAGCCAATCTTGGATTTCATCATTGCAAACGAGTACAACAGCTTTGTAGATGCAGAGGAGAATCCCTTGTGTTGCAGCAACATCACCTGGATTCTCACCAGCCCAGCATACGACCTTTACACCAGCCTATCAATACCTCCCTGCACATGGTAGTGCTAAAAAAAACTGACCTACGCACGTGCACACACACTCTTTCGAAACTGTTGATGTTTAAGAGTACAGTGGACCCCCGCTTAATGATCACCTCCCAATGCGACCAATTATGTAAGTGTATTTATGTAAGTGCGTTTGTACATGTATGTTTGGGGGTCTAAAATGGACTAATCTACTTCACAATATTCCTTATGGAAACAAATTCGGTCAGTACTGCATACTTCTGAATGATACTTCTGAACATACTTCTGGAATGAAAAAATATCGTTAACCGGGGGTCCACTGTATTTGTAAACAAAGTTAGGATTCAGTTACACTGATATTCTAGAAAGCTTGCACTCAAATTTATAAATTCCCATGCATAATGAAAGACAGTTTTAAACCAACTGAAAGAACTACACGAGGAACTACCGAGTGCTAAAATCCTGGGGAAAATTTTCAAGACTTTACTGCAGACTGAATAAAAGAAGATGGGGACAACCATGAGCTTAGCTCTGCTCCTATATCTTATAAGCAGGTAACCAACTATAATTAAAACAACTGAATTCTATAAGTGTTCACTGTAATTCCTAAATTTATTGTTAAT